CTGTAATCCATGTATATACATACATATATATGTGTATACATATGTGTATACAGACACACACATATACACATATATCCCACTGTCATACATAGAACAGCTGTCACCATGTGGGGCACATGGCAGGCATTCAGTAATGGTGAGGTTCCCAGAGGTCTCTAGAAGACAAATACTTTTTCCTTGTGCTTTGCCTTTGTGTCTGCCCCACCCTGACATACACCAGTAGATATACATGAAATCATTATGGCTGTGTTTTCTTGAGTGCCCAAGATGTGAAGATCTATCATTCCTTCAGTGTGTTTCAAAGATGAAGTCAGCACACTGGGAGTGACTTACCTAAGGACACACAATAACAATAATTCTGTCTCTGGGGACTCAGAAAGGTCTCTTGACTCTAGTATTCTGTTCAGACAGAATTGACATCCACAGTGCCTTCTGTTTCTGTGTCTCATGTACATGTGCTCTCAGGTGTTTATCTAGAAGATAAAATAATGGGGCAGAAGACCAACTGATGGTGCAGTGTGTTTTTTTTCCTACCCCATAATCTTTTGATCTGCTGTCACTGAAGCTTATATATAGTATATATAGTCATTCCTCTTGTAAAAGTTGTCAGAATCAAAAAGGAGTTGCTGGGCCGAGCCCGTGGCACACTCGGGAGAATGCAGCGCTGGGAGTGCAGCAGCGCTCCTGCCACGGGTTCGGATCCTATATAGGGATGACCGGTGCGCTCACAGTGCTCACTGGCTGAGTGCGGTGAGGCCGGTCTCAAAAAGGACAAAAAAAAAAAATCTTTAAAGTACTGGTTAGATTTGAGAGCCTATTTAAATAATGATAATAGTGTTAATAATGGCTATTGATTACTGTGAGAAAAATCCTGTGGAATTCTCATAATTTACCAATTTAATTATTATGAGAAAACTTATTAGGTAAATGCTATTTTATTTCCATTTTACAAAACAGAAAATGAAAGCACAAACTGGTGAAGTACCTTACCCATAAAGCCCTTACAAATAGACCTGGTGAAGGCCATAAAGGGAAGGTTCTCATGAACAAATGCCTGGTAACAAAGATTATCACAAAGGACTCTGCAAAACCACAACCTTGCACAGAAACCATTGCAACCTTAACAAAAAAATACTTCTGAAAGGACATCTGCCCAGCAACTGTCTGTCTAACCTCGGACTGGTATCACCTTCTTATTCTTGTAGCCGAGGATAATTATCCTAAACAATTACATAATCCTCCATCACTTTTCCTTTAAAACTCTTTGTCTTTCTTTACCTCACTGAATATGCACATAGTTTATCATGGCATGTGTATTCCCATTGCCATGTTCTATTCCCTAATAAACTCCATATATTTGGCCTCAGTTTCTTTTATAGATCAGCTTTTCTATTACATTTCCAAATGATGCCTCTGATAGCTATGCAAATTTTTATTGCAAAATTATGTCTTTTACAAGAGGTTGAGATGAAGTTGGAAGGAACTATTTGCTGAAGGCTTACTATATGCTGGAGGCTTTACATAGCCATTTTTACTTGGAATTTATGATACTCCTATAATGCAGGTAATGCTATTCCCTTTTTCTAGAAGAGGAAACTAAGGCTCACAGAGTTTTAGGAACTTCTCCAAGTTCACAAAACTAGTAAATGGCAAAACTGCTATTTTAGCTGTTGATCTCCACAGGAAATGATGGGGCCGGTTGTTATGGTGTATGTTATATGGTGACCATGTGATGTTATGCACATAAAGGAACTCAACAATACCTATTGATGAGGATGATAATAAAGATAAAATATCTTTTCTTGGGTTTAGAGGCCTGGTTTACGAAATTCACATGAATTTAGTTAGAGCAAAAAGTCAATGTACTGAATAGGCCAGCTTTTTGGTACTAGGTTAAAATGCTACTTTATTCATATATTAAAAGCTCATTAAAACCTAGGTGTGTAGAAGAGCACTGTTTTCTTTGGCTATATTTATTTTTGGACCAGCGCCACACTGTTTTGATTATTTATTATTAGAAACTCTAGCATGTTCAAAAAAAAAAAACTAGAACCCCTTTATCATTACTCTTACTAATTTCTTGCCTATCCTTATCCATTTGATTTTTCCAAGGGACCTTTGAAAAAAATTCACTGAACTTCCAAGTTGGAGGTAGGGGATAGAGAGAATTCACAGCTTTGCAAGACTGAATCATCCCATCCAGGAACATGGCCTCCTAATTGTCTAAATATCCAACAATCACATTTCTTGTTCATTATCTCAAAATTCAAAATTCACTTTAGATCTTCAATAATTGCTAAAAGTTGGTTTGAAAATAATCAGGCTAAGGACCAAGGCCCTTTTTAAACTGGCTTGTAGAATGGTTTCTGCACTAGATAATTTGCCAGTGACCTAACTACTTCAAGGGCTGTAATGAAGACGAAACAGGAAAAGGCAGTGAGATGATATGATATATGGTGGTTTTGGAAAAATGAATCTATTAGGGGAGAGCAAGACTTGAGGTAGCAAAACCAGACCTGCAACCATACGTCAGGAAAGGGGAGTTGATGGCCTAAAAGAGGGTAGCAAGAGTGGAAATGGGAGAAAAGTGGAAGGATCCAGAAATATTTAGAAGAGAAGGTCAAGACTACTTGATTTCATGGGAGGAAGAGAGAATCACGGATGATTCCCAGATTTCTTGCTTGGGCAACTGTGTGAATTCTCAGGCCATCTATTAAGACAGGAAACATAAAGAGGGGGGGAGTTTTGTGTGTGAAGAAGGGAGAGGAAGCATGGTAAAATCACGTGGGGACATATTCCATTTGAGGTTCTTCAGGGACATCCAAATGGATACGTTTAATAGTTGGTTAAAATGGATCTGAACCAAGTTGATGGTAAAGTTCACATGGAGAAATAAACATGCAGGGACATATAAGAAAAAACAAAAAACTAAGAAAAATTACTGGGGTGGGGGATGGGAGACTAGCTCTACCAGATATATGAACTTATTATAAATCCTCTATAATTTTAAACTGGTGTATGAATACAAAATAGACCAATGAAATAGAATAGAAAGCTCAGTAAGTTTCCCAAGTACATAGAGAAATTAAGTATATAATAAAGGTGGCATCTCAAATCACTGGGGCAAAGATGGACATTTTGAAAAATGATGTGGAGGGCTGGCCAGTTAGTTGGTTAAATAGCGTGGTGCTGATAACACCAAGGTCCTGGGTTTAATCCCTGTACTGGCTAGTGCCAAAACAAAAACCAAACAAAAAAAAAAATGATGCTGGAACAACTGAGAAGCCAATTGGAAAAAAAAAAATGATCCATACTTCACACCACACATGTATATAAACTGTAAATACTAACTAAGAGCACCATATGAGTACCAAAAGAAAATGAGTGAATTCTTCTTCAGCCTCAAGTAGGAAAAGATTTCTTAACTATAAATCAAAATCTAGAGGCAATAAAAGTTTGATAAATTTGACTACATTTTTTAATGCATGTCAGAAACACACCAAAAACAAGGCCAAAAACCAAACTGACAAACTGGAAAAACATATTTGCAACATATACAACAGATAAAGGCCTAATAAAGTTAATGTATAAAGAACACTTGAAAAGTGAGGGAAGAAGGAACAACAACCCATTAGAAAAATGTGGAAAAGACATGAACAGACAATTCACAAAAATAAATTGTCCTTAAACATAGAGAGGCAAAATAAAATACCATTGAGATACTACTTCTCAACTATCATATTAGTGAAAATTTAAAAGTATGTCATTTGTTGTGTTGGAAAGAGTAAGGAGAAACAAAACACTCTCTTATATTGCTGGTGGAAAAGCAAAACACGGTCTGGGATTCAGGGAAGAGAATACCCAGGAGAAGCATGTGTGGGAGTTATGGGTGTTTAGAGGGAAGTGAACGAAATCACCCAGGAAGAGAAAATATGTGAACTAAGGAGAGAAGAGGCCCAGGACAGAACCCAGGAGAACAGCAACACTCAAGGTGGCGGCACAGCTTCCCGACAGGCACCACCACCCGGGGTCTGGATTCGGGCAGATCCGATCGTGAAAACGGGCTGTAAGGTTCAGGAGCTGAGCGCTCTTTGCAAAGGCGGGTACCCTCTCTGATCAGTTGTCACACCTGGCGATAACAGGCATCTAAGAGGGATGTGGTGCGAGGATACGGTGAGGTGCGCCAGGTCAAGCACCTGAAGCCGGGAAGTCTCCCTTCCCCTCCTCCTCTTTTTGGTGACGCCTCCTCCCTTTGTTACACTCCCTTCCCCCAACGATCCCCAGCTTTCGGATCCGTCGGGAAGTGGGAGTTAGGCGGGAGGGGAGGGAGGTGGCCCAGCTCCTGTGATGCGGTGCTCGCATGATTGGCGAGAAGGAAGTTGCTGAAATCAGTTTGGGTACAAGAACCTTGAGATCTTTCAGAGACATTCAGGCAGTGATGTCCAATAGACAGTTCGAAAAGAGGATCTGAGATTCGGGAGAAGAGAATACCCTGGAGATGTAGATATGAGAGTCCTTGGTGTTCAGAGGGAAGTGAACAAAATCACCCAGGGAGACAGAACATGTGAAGTGAGGAGAGAGGAGGCCCAGGACAGAACCCAGGAAAACACCAACACTAAAGGTGGCAGCGCAATTTCCTAGCAGGCACCACCACCGGGCAGGTTCTGGAGTCGGGCAGACCCGGTCTTGAAAACAGGCTGTAAGGTTCAAAGAGCTGAGCGCTCTTGGCAAAGTCAGGTACCCTCTGATCAGCTTCACACCTGGCGATACTGGGATCTGAGCGATGCTGTGGTAGGTGAGACGCGCCAGGTGAAGCACATGAAGTCAGAGCCTCCCCCTCCTCTTCTTGGTGACATTCCCATCCCCGCCTTTGCTGCACTCCCCTCTCCCCCACGCCCCCAGCCCGCAGCTTCCCAGTCCCTTGGGGATGGGGGATGAGGTGGGTCAGGCGGGGGGGCCGGGCAAGCTTGGGTGACGCGGCGCTCACGTGACCCTCTGGGAGCCGACGTGGGCACCAGCCCCCGCGCCCGCCCTGTGGTCCTGTCCCTGCGCCCGCTCGGAACCTGCTCAGTGAGCTGACAGGGCGGCGGGCTAGCGGCGAGCGGGCTTCTGCGAGCTCGAAGAGGCGCAGGCCTGTCCCGGATCCCCGCAGGTCAGTGTGACGCCTAGCGCTGCCGGCGGACCTGGGGCAGGGGTGGAGGTGGATGGCCGGAGGATCCGGGAGCACCGGGGAGGGGGGAGGAAGGGACCGGGGAACTTGGTGAGGAGGGGACGCAGAGCCGAGCGAGAGGGGGAGAAGCGGGTGGGGGCGGAGAGAGAGGAAAGACCCCCAGGCGCCGGCCCGCCTTTTCCAACCCCCTCTCCTAAGCCCTCCGTCCATTTTAGAGCATGAAATGCGGATGGGGGGCGGGGGGGCCGAGGCGCAGTGCGACACTGAAACGTAGACATATTCTGGAAATAGCCCCCCTCTCACACTCGGCGCCTATGAAGTAATAGTGGCCTCCGCGAAAACGAGATGGGGATGGGGCAGGTTGCCTCGGGAGCGGGGGACACAGAGACACAAGCGTAGTTTGGAAAGCATCGTGGTCTGGTGCCCAAGGCCTGAGAACAAATGGCGGCTGGGGTGCGGGGGAGGTAGGGGTGGAAACAGTCGGGTGAGGACGGTGAGGAGGGCCCGGATCAGGAAAGGGACCCGAGTCCGCGTGAGTCCATGAGCGCGCAGCCCCCGCCCCTGCCTCCCGTCTGTCTGCAGGTCTGCGTGGCTGTTGTCCCCAGCACTCTGTGACGCCTGACAAGGAGGCGCAACCTGTCCAGAGTCTCTACAGGTCAGTGAAAGGGTGGGAGGCGTGGACCGGGACCCAGAGGGTTGAGAGTGTGGAGGCATGGCCTGGGCAGAATTGGGGGCCCCACTGCCCATCCCCTCCACCCCACAATGCACGCACACCTTGCACGCTGCCGAAGGAGTGCAGAGGATGTGGCAGGGTTGGCTCACGTGTGCGGGAGGATTGGTGGGGTAAGTAAGGGGTGGGCAAGTAAGGGGACCCCTCAAAAGGGGCGAGGTGCAAGACCTGTCTGCACCTGCATTCCACCCCACACCTCCAGGCTCCCATGTGTCCTCTTTGTCTCCTCTTCCCTTCACCCACCCCAGGCCAGGAAAAGCACGGGAAACCTCACCATGGAGAAACCCTACAGCAAAAATGAAGGAAAACTTGAAAAGGAGGGAAAACCGGAAGATGAAGTAGAGCCTGAAGATGAAGGAAAGTCAGATGAGGAAGAAAAGCCAGACGAGGCGGGAAAGCTAGAGGATGAGGGACAGCCAGATAATGAGGGACAGCCGGGAGATGAAGGAAAGCACGAAAAGCAGGGAAAGTGCGAAGATGAGGGCAAGTCACAGGGCGAGGGCCAGCCAGAATCCCAGGCAAAGCCAGAGAGCGAGCCGCGGGCCGCCGAAAAGCGCCCGGCTGAGGATTATGTGCCCCGGAAAGCAAAAAGAAAAACGGACAGGGTTACGGACGATTCCCCCAAGGACTCTCGGGAGGACTTACAGGAAAGGCATTTGGGCAGTGAGGAGATGATGAGAGAATGTGGAGATATGTCAAGGGCTCAGGAAGAGCTAAGGAAAAAACAGAAAATGGGCGGTTTTCACTGGATGCAAAATGTCCAGGATCCATTCGCTCCAAGGGGCCAACGGGGTGTCCGGGGAGTGAGGGGCGGAGGGAGAGGCCAAAGGGGCTTACACGATATCCCATACCTTTAATGCCTTTGGCCTTCAATTCTGACTTCTCTGATGAGGATATTGCTGGCCCTGCTTTCCCTGGTAGATATTTGCCAGGCCCTGTGCTTTAACCTTAAGCTGTTACTTTGCTTTAGGTGTCACTCTCGTTACCAGCAGCCTTTTGATTCAACTATAGCTTTCCTGTCTTTTAGTAGAAGATTTTCACCCATGTGCATGGAAGAGATGTACATTGTCAAATAACAATAAAAAGTTTGCAGAACCACATATATAGTATTAGCCCATTTTTATAAAAATGCAAATGTTTATGTAATGCATTTGTGCACGGACAACTCCGAAAGTGTGTACACTGAGAAGTAACCAATGGTTATTCCTGCATGGTGCCAGGAATAGGTCTCGCCTGCTCTCAGAAGTGTGTCTGACCACCCGATGGCTTGGCACCTCCATTGCCATTTCTCTGCTAGTGTGCCCATCCCCATATCTTCCCCAGGTGGGTCTTCTTCCATTCTTTGGCTCTCCAGTGTGTGATTCTTTTTTCTTTGCTCACTCATCTCCACTTTTCCCTAATGGATTTGGATGGCATTTGCCATAATAATAATTTTTTAAAAGCTAAAACCAGAAAATAATACATCATAAGCAATTAAACTGTTCAGTGAGCTTATGTGAGCAATGAAGACACTCAAAATTTCTGTTGTCAAAATGTAAGATGACAGGTAAAATTCACATTACCTCTTGGACTCATAGCTAGAGGAATTAACCTGACAGTTAGATTCATTGCTGTGAGGTCAGTGTTGTCATCTATGAGTGGGAATAATAGTTGCCTCCTAGGACTGTCCAGTGTATCAGATGAAGTACTGAGTATGTGAGCTATGTTGTGACCTGGCCTCCAACAGACACTCGGGGGAGGAATGGTGCCCACACCACTCCCATGCAGCAGCAGGATGTGGGTAAATTCAGATGCTTGGGGGAGGACTGAGAGAGGTATTAACTGTACACAGGAACAAGTCCAGGCAGCTGAGAGGTAGGTACCACTCTCTCTTGAGTACTACCATGTCTACTGGGCACTGTGCACTTTCTCCTGAGTCCTGCACCCTTTACTAATAGAAGCTTTGAGATGTGAAAGCCCTGCCAGTTTTTCTGGAGTTACCGGTGAGCTTATATCCATCCACCTTGACCTCTATAGAAGTGGATAAAGCCCTCTCCCTACTTTAGAATTACAGCTATCAATTACCTGTGGGTATCAGCTTAGTGCTGCTTGGGCCTCTAATTAATACCTTTCAGGTTCTTTTTTAGCAAAACAATTATTTATGTGTATCTTATTGATTTGTTTGTGTATTTTTGCATACATAAAGATAAAGATTCTCTTCACCAAATTCAGATATTGCAGGCCAGGCCAGGAGAAAAATATATCTGCACGATAGATGCTGTGCTGTTCTCATGGGTCGATATCCTGCCTATAGACTCTCTTTCCTAGGTCGAGTTCACTCCCAGGAAACTCTCCTCAGGCCCCACCTTAGCAGCTCAGCAGACCTATCAACACATTTGAGTTTTAAATTCACTTGGTAGTGAACATGTGGTTCGTGGACAAGCTATGTCAACATCACCTGGGAGCTAATTAGAAATGCAGAATCTAAGGTATACTGAGTTAGAATCTTCACTTTAACAAGATCTCAGGGTGAGTCTTATGAACATTGATGTTTGAGAAGGACCAGCTTAGAGGGAGATTCTTTTCAGTCTTCTCACTTCTGCCTTCACTTGAAATATGTGCCTGAAAGGATAAAAATTTGAAGTACATAAGATGCACATCACAGATTATTAAATAGAGCCATTTTGTCAAACTGTAGTTGCCCTTCCCCCATACAAAGTAGATATTGAAAGCAGTTCAATGGGTCAAGATCCTGCAATTTTTAATGAAGTAAGATAGAATAGAACTGAATAGAGTTAAATACAAAATAGCAAATTGCATTGCAAGTAGTTAGAGTGAATATTGTTTTGTGAAATGTGTGCTTCACTTATGTATGTATGGATGGATATGTGTGCACCATGACTTGTGATTAAAAATGTATTTCTGACTGTGGGATGCAGTTAAAAAAAAAGAGAGAGAGAAACGTTGCATTGGATTCTGCATTTCGAAGCATACCCTGTTCATTTATACTTGTATTTTTAGTATCCAGGACAAGTACCTGACAAGTAGTAGGTACTTAATAAAAGTGTAAATAATAGTTACTGAGTCCAGAACCGTGAGTTTTTCTCCAAGTTTAACCCCTGCCTATATAAATAACCTTGTACAAATAACTAAAGTTGTCCAGCAAAGTTTGCTTACAGTCCCAAAAGGATAGGATCAGGAAGTCCCAGGCTTCACAGGTTGGACAGAGCCTACTGTAGACCATAGTCGAAGAGGCCATTATGGAAGAACATATACTCAGCAGCACAAAGGAGAGCTCCTGGGCCTTCAAAACCACAGGAACACAGGCTCTAAATAGTGAAACTAAACAACTGTGCAATCTGTGCTATAAAAGGACTCAGTGGAGGGTTCTGTCTATGCCACAGGAGCACAGCCTCACAAAGGAACAGAAGCATGCCTGCCAGGGTGAAAGGCCAGGTTGTAGGGGTCTGCCTTGGAGGGGTGGCAGTTGAGCACACACTGGCAGACGATCTTATTCCACTTCACTTGAGGGAATTAAGGCCTTGGATTTTAGAAACAACATGTATCATATTGGTTTTGTGCTTGGACTCCATATGGCTTCCATTTTTGAGTGGTACCTAGAGCAAGAACAGTAGGTTTAGATTGTAGCACAATCTGCTTTGACACTTCCGCTCATGACCCTGCAGATCCAATTGTATTGTGTCTGTGCCAGAAAGAGAGGCTCCATGAAGTCTTAGAAAGCCCCAATAGTAGAATCAGAGTACACCCCTAAGGTTTTGGAGCAACTAGTCTACACTGAGAAGCCCATTGTAGAGACTTAACACCAGACAATGAGGTACTCATTTTTTGCACAAATGAACCACCAATTATGAACTTGTTTCTGTCTACAGTGTTGAACAATAAAGTTTGGTGTGGAGAACAGCTTTCTACTATTAACTGCAAATGGCTTCAATGAGGTACTCATTTTTTGCACAAATGAACCACCAATTATGAACTTGTTTCTGTCTACAGTGTTGAACAATAAAGTTTGGTGTGGAGAACAGCTTTCTACTATTAACTGCAAATGGCTTCAATGAGGTACTCATTTTTTGCACAAATGAACCACCAATTATGAACTTGTTTCTGTCTACAGCATTGAACAATAAAATTTGGTGTGGGGAATAGCTTTCTACTATTAACTGCAAATGGCTTGAAAAGATCTTGCCTGAAGGAAAATCTGCTTCCAAGCTCATTCAGATAGTTTTCAGAATTCAGTTCCTTCCAGCTGTGGGACTGTGGCCCCCACTTTATTATTATTATTATTATTGGCTGTCAGTAAGGCTGTTTTTAGCTCCTAGAGGTCACCTGCATTCCTTACAATGTGGCCTCCTCCAATCTTCACTGGGCAATTGCACACTGATTCTTTCTCATGCTTCTAATTTCTGACTGTTCTGTCTCTGTCTCTATACCCTTATTTAAGGAGATGATGTGATTATGTCAGGCTCACCCAGATAATCTTCCTATATTAAGGTCAACTGATTTGGGACCCTATTAACATCTGCAAAATCTCTTCATAGCAACACATAGATTAGTATTTGATAGAGTAACTGGGAGAAGATATGTACACATCATGGGCTGGTGACCTGGAGAGCCATCTTAGAATTCTTCTTTCCACGGTCTGTCTTCTGGTCCCCAAAATTCATATTCTTTCTAAATGCAAAATACATTCAACTCTTCCCAAGATTCCTAAGAATCTCATTCCATTACAACATCAACTCGAAGGTCAAAATATCATCATCTAAATCATCTAAGCCAGATATGAATGAGGATCTTGGGCATAATCCATTAAATAAAGCTCCTGAAGACATTTGTCCCCATCTGTGAATCAGGGAAACTAAGGAGACAAATTCTCTGCCCACAAAATTCCCAACATATGATGATAATATGCAAGGTGTGAAAAGACACAAGGTATTGGAGAACCACAAGGGATACTGAAATAACCCATAGCTAGTAAATATGAGATTACTAGCAGTTGACCTGAGGGACAAAGGCAAAGAGAAGTTACTGAAAGTTGGAGATACAGAGTCTATGTGAACAGGGCTACCTTCTAGAAACCTTGGGAAGAGGGACCCTGCCAGCATCTGATGATACTGCAGAGAACAATCTGGGAGGAAAATTTCCTGACCACATTCTCCACAGATGGCTCCTAGAGGACAAAAGAGCTTTTTGATGTGCTCCATACAGATCAGACTTTCTTGGGACACAGAGCTGGTTAAACAAGGGTGGAGAGTAAATTGGGATGGGAAGATGGGGAGGTATCTGGCAAGTGGCTGAGGGTCATGTTAGTAGTACTTACTGGGAATTGTGCCTGCAGTGGGAAAGAGTACCTCTTTTCAGCTTTATTTTCATCATAAGGAGACAGGCAAAAGGCATATTGTTCTGTGAGGGTTAACTCCAGCAGAAATGCCCCTAAACTGCATTGACCCATGGTAAAAGTATAAAACATACTGATTAAGCATGTTGTTTTATAACCATGGGTCTGAAGAGTTTTGGATGCTTTGTACCAGCTTATCAGCTATATTGATAACAGTGAGATTGATTGCTACATGTCTCGCTGTGTAACAGAGATGAAAAAAAGATTACTCAAAGCAACATGAATGCAATGAGAAGCCCAAAGGGACTGCACCTCAGCAGCTCCTCTGTTAGAAGGAGAAAACTGGGTACAGCCCTGATTCAAAGTTAACTTCTGTTTTTATTGTAAAGACAAGGAAGTTTCACAAGAAAAATCAGTTGATTCAATCATTTCAAAAGGACACAAAGACATGGGCAACATCACAAAAGTACCAATGGCTAAGTATAGCTTAAACAATGGAAACTAGTAATGTCATTTAAATCAACAAGGTAACATTCCAAAGTACAATTTGTGAAAAGCTACATTGATCAAACTGCTATCATTATCTAACCCAAAATATAACCTCTCCCCAACTGATTTAAGCAAAAGTTACAATCTTATGATAATTGTCTCTAAAGTTTCCACCAACAAACAGCTTGCCCTTAGCAAACATTTTTTCACATTTTTCCCTACAGAAATTCTTTCAACATCTTTTAACAACAATCAGTATGTTAAATAATCAAAGTATAT